GCCCGGTACCGTTGTTGTCTTCGCCCCTGCTAACATCACCACTGAGGTCAAGTCCGTGGAGATGCACCACGAGGCCCTGCAGGAGGCCGTTCCCGGAGACAACGTTGGCTTCAACGTCAAGAACGTTTCCGTGAAGGAGCTGCGTCGTGGCTACGTTGCCGGTGACTCCAAGGCTAACCCCCCCAAGGGCGCCGCCGACTTCACCGCCCAGGTCATCGTGCTGAACCACCCCGGTCAGATCGCCAACGGCTACACCCCCGTGCTGGATTGCCACACCGCTCACATTGCTTGCAAGTTCGCTGAGATCAAGGAGAAGGTCGACCGTCGTTCCGGCAAGACCACTGAGGAGAACCCCAAGTTCATCAAGTCTGGCGATGCTGCCATCGTCAACCTGGTGCCCTCCAAGCCCCTGTGCGTGGAGGCCTTCCAGGAGTTCCCCCCTCTGGGTCGCTTCGCTGTGCGTGACATGAGGCAGACCGTGGCTGTCGGTGTCATCAAGGCTGTCAACTTCAAGGATGCCTCCGGTGGCAAGGTCACCAAGGCCGCCGAGAAGGCCACCAAGGGCAAGAAGTAGCTGGTTTGCTTCCACTCAACAACAACAAGCAGTAGCAGCAGCATCAAGCAAATAACCAACATCATAATGCAGCCAACAACACCACTCAGCAATACCAGCGACAGCAGCAGCGAGCACAATAGTAGTTTAACACCAACACCTGTCCTGCGCAAGATGACCGATAAGATGATGTTCCAGCAGAAGCAAAAGTTTAATTTCTTCCATCGAAAGGAATTTCGACGGATACGAATGCTAAATGCAGTCGAGGCCGCCTAAATTGGGAAACGGTGGATCCCAAGGAAGAGTGCACACTGGGAAAAACACTTGCATTTATGCATCCACTCCTCCTCCATCTCCCCGTCGATCTTTAGTTTACTACATATGATATGATAAGGAGTTGACTTCGTTATGGTATCATATATAGATATCCTCTGTAGCATTTATAATCGTTTAAATTAACCTTTTTACTTTGATATGTATCAATTATCTTTTTCCTAATTTTGCACACACTACTTTGTACACAAGAAAAGAACCAGAATAGAAGCGATAACTTTATTTACAAAAAAAATAAAAACCCTATTTTTGTATTTCTTCTGTTTTTACCACCCAGCCACTAAAAGCACCATTTTTTTGGTTGTTGCCTCCTGATTTTCAGCGCCATGATCGATCATCATCCCCCCAACTCCAAGTTCACTTATCGTCGATGCCACAAAGTACAAACAAGAGCTAATTGAAGAGTACAACAGCAGTTGAATCTGACAACAAATACCTCAATCGTTTTAATAAAGCGAGCAATTGCATATGAAGAATTTGAAAACTTATTGCGTTTGGGGGCTTATAATTCTCATTGCAAATAGAGAGCAATTTAGATTTTGCATTTGGAGAAAATGAGCAAAATTTATATATATTTGCAACGGGATTATGATGAAGAGATTCATTTAAAAGTGCGTTTTTTTTATTCAAGTTATATAGTTCCATAAAAAATACAAATTAAAAAATCTGCTAAGAAATAAATATGAGGAACCTAAAAGTTCGTAAAATGTATAGGATTCAATATAACTATATATTTACATTAGCGGATTTTGCACAAAGAGGTGGAACGGGTGTGATTTGGCTAAAATATATGGTGTAAAGTGGATGCATCCGCTGATCTCTATTTGTCCAGCACAAGCGGCGGATCGACGAAGTCGTGAAGGTGTCTTCTCTGTGACTCGGTCTCGTCATCATCGCGCTCCCTAGGATCCTCGTATCGGATGCCCTCGGCCGAGATAATGGCGCTCTTCATAAGGTATTTGCCGAACCGCTGTATTTGCATATTCGTGATGCTGTCCAGCACCCAGTAGGGGTCGAGATAGATGCGGTCGTCCACGGCGCGCCGCTTGTCCCCTATGACGTACTTGGCCTTGAAGCGGTTCTCGGTGAGGGTGGCGCCGCCCAGCAGAAGCAGCTCCTTCATATTGTTGAACTGCACCGGTCGGCAGAGGGAGGACACATAAAAGGGCTCCATGAAGCGAAACAACTCACAATGGTAGTGGACGCCAAAGGCCTGCCTTTCTGTACGGCAAATCTGAAGGATATGAACGGAATTGAGTTTATAAGTGGGCTACTGGTGGGCGCATTGGTCTTACCTCGATTGCACGCGAAAACCTGGTCAGTTCATAGGGCTCTTCACTGATCCACTTGCCTGCTCGTATGGATGCCAACACCCACTGGTAACTGACAATCCACACGCCGCGCATCAAACCGCGCAGGAGATTTAGGGTTCGACGCGGCTCCAGGCTTACCAGGTGAGTGGTGTGCTGTGTCACGGTGGGATCCAGCCGCATGCCGCGTAACTTGCGCAGGGCCTGGGATTGAAGGCGGTTTTCGATTAGGATTTATAACCGCCACGGATATTATTTATTCAACTGTGCGGGAGGCTTTACAAATGGGGACTACTTGTTCAATCTACCGAGTGTTGTTTATGCTTAATCAATAATTAATATGGGCCATTAACGAGTTGCGAATATGCTAATTTACAAACTAGTACGGTTTACTAACTAATCCATTAGTGGAATTGCCAAAACTGGGTGAACAATGGTTACAATCAGAGGGAGATGTGAATGGTGCATCGGTCACTCCTTCGTGTTACCAACCTTGTTGATGACGTTTATTTGCTCCTGGTGCATGTTGGTGTGGACTAGCGTGCGAATCCGTGAACGTGATTTGCCCTTCGGCTTGTCCACTTCTTCCCCTGTGATTGAAATGGATTCCTCCACTTCAGGAACGGTATTCAACGAAGCCCCAATTGTCTCTTCATTGTTCTTGGACTTTTCTTCCTGCGTGGTTGTGACGGCTTTGGGAAGAGCAACTGGGGCACACAACTCTGATGATGAAGACTTTGCAGGAGTGGCTAGCGAGCGTCGACGCTTCTGCACGGAGCTCGAGGACCCAGTTAAGCTCAAACGACTCTTTCTATTACTTTTCGGTGGCGAAATAACCACTTCGTCGTTTGGATTGAAAAGTCTTCGCCTTTTGGGCGCTGTTTGCGGTAGTTCTTGTTCAGTGACTTGGCGAGACTCGCCCAACTCCGCCTCATTAGCCAAGGCTAGCGACATTCGATGCGATGCATTCATTCTTTCGATGCTTTCGTTAATCACGTCCATGTCCATGTTGAAAATGGTTCGCCTGCGATTTCCCCCCGTGGACTGACCACTGGGCAGTCGTGTGGAGCTGAACAGCGGCGTCACTGGCTCCTCGACGACAGAGTTGGACCTTTGAGTAGACATGTGGCTGAGCGACTGCCTCAGATCGGAGCTGGATTTGGCCACGCTGTGCCGACGAGGGGAACTTATGTTCATCCATTCTGAGGCATAGAGCGTGCCACGTCTGTCCGCTTTATAAGAAGCTTCTGCCTCAACAGCGGTTATCTCTATTGACTGCTCAACACAATCAGTTTGGTTGATTATATTGGTCTGGACCGAACCTATTGAATTTCTTTCCTCTTGAACTGGAGCCAGCTCCTCATTTATTGTTTGAATGGTTTTCCTCTGGGCTGTTTCTTCTGATTGTTTAGCAATTGCAAGCAATGAGCTTCTGCGACGAGTCATTCTGGGTTCTGCAACTGCGGTTTGAGCTGGATCAAGCTCTTGAATGACCGTGGAAGTCAGTAGCGAACTCCTCCGGCGGGTCATTCTGGTATCCGTTGCAAGGGGACTGCAGATTTCCGCTACGCAGCTTCGACGGCGAGTGGTGCGCGCTGGTGGCGTCATTACCGGTGGCGGATCCACTGTACTCCGCCGTGGACGTGAAGTGGACGATGGTTTTGGCTGGAGGGTATTGCTGACCGTCTGCTCTCCAAATTGCAAATTCTTTTGGGCCTGCACTTTTTCGGCCACCGCATCTCCACTGCCATTAGTTCCCAACAGCTGGGGAGTAGCCATTGCTGGCGCAGGAGTAAAGCAGCCACTGCTTATTCTATGGTTAAATAATTTGTTTATTTAGTTGACAAGACTCGTACACCTGTACGCAGCATTGAAAAACACACCTGTTGAGTAGTTTGGTGGCTGGAGATTCGATTGCCTCATCATCCAAAGGTTTTTTGTTATTGATGGCTCTAAAAAAGCGACTGATGTCATTCTGGAAAAATTATAAAATGTAAAACTTTAATGAAAGGAAATAACATTGTTAAATAGTGTGGATTAATAGTGATCATGACGACTACTAATCAAATTTCCAACAAATCAGTACATACATTTCTGTTAATATTAATTTGTGATTATTTGAATTCAATGGTAGGGAAATATTTTAAATCCCAATCTTCAAAAATATCTACGCTCTTGTAGCGTAAAAAGTTTTAATCATATTATTTATATTTGTTTGTTACAATATGGTGGTATCATTTAACTATAAAATACACAACACTGAGCTTATTTACCTTTGGTTTGGTGGTTGTTGGAGTGCCGGGCAGGGCTTGTTTGTTAGCCGATCCTGCCTCATTGTCCTTGGAGGATGTGGGTGTTCCTTGTCGTTTACGGGGTCGCTGATTCAATTCGGAGTCCGGCTGCATGAACTTAACGCGCTGTGAGTTAAAGGGATTTAAAAATTATTTAAGGCTACGTAGATGCAATTTTCGTGAGCAGCTTTTGCCCTTTGGTGTTATTGTTAATGCTGCGGATGCTGCCGACTTTTTGCCCGACTCTGTCAGTCATGTTGACTAGAAAACACTGTTTTATTTGTTCATAACTACGTGATATCTGGCCCGTTGTATAAATAGAAAACGTTCTTATCTACAATGAGACCATCTCGCTGCCTGAGAAGATGGTTCCATTAAGCCGTAATCGATGGTACTAGCTCATGTGTTAAAGAGGTTCTTTGATAAAATGCAAGTTAAATATAATTTGATATACAAAGATTTAGTCGCAGTTAGGTTGTGGTTTTTGAATAGAGGCGCCTAGCAAGTGCCATCCCTAGCGCCCGCCGTCTATCGATAGGCGCCAGCGATAGCACTATCGATTGCCGCGGCACACAGCCAGCGGCCCTATAAAAGTTGCTTTTTGTGGGGCTGTCAGCTCAGTCAGCGGCTCATTCATCACTTTCCGACGCGCTCTAGTAGAGCTAGTAGACCTTTTTTATCAACCCGTCAGTATTACGCGTCTCCCCAAAAAGCCCCCGCCGCCGGAAACCCATTAGCATTCCGTAGAAACAACACGATAAGCAGCAACAAGTGTTCCAGAGATTCCCTTGAAACATACAGAATCTAAAACTCCATTGAAATTGGTTCTTAGTTGTTTTGTTTACCTTGCAATCACTGCCCAAGAACGTGGCACATTCCCAACTGTGGGTAAACAATCGCTGCGCAACAATTAAAAAACTTGTTCTCCCTGTGCACGCGAATAAATCTTTGGAGCACAATTCCATACCAGCCGGTGACGGGCACGGAAGAGCAGCTCCAACTACAAGATGATTCCAGGCTATGGACCCGTCACGCAGGCCCTGCTGGGCACCCTGCTTACCTGGGGTCTCACCGCCGCTGGCGCCGCTCTAGTCATCTTTGTTCGGGGTAACCAGCGGAGGTCTCTGGACGCCGCCCTAGGATTCGCAGCTGGCGTGATGATAGCAGCCTCGTTTTGGTCACTGCTCAAGCCGGCCATCGAAATGGCCGAGAGTTCCCATTTGTACGGAGTATACGCCTTTCTGCCCGTCTCTGGAGGCTTTCTCTTGGGATCCATCTTCGTCTATGGATGCGACAAACTGATGTCATATCTGGGCCTGAACAGCACCAACATGATGATCCAGATGACGCAGTCGAAAGACAAGGCGGACATAGCCATCGAGGACTCTAAGCGCAATGGAGTACCCTCCGATAGATTGGCCTCCAAGAGTCTGGACAGCTTCTCCGACTGCCTCAGCGTGCAGCACAGCGGCGAATCGAGGCGCCGAAAGAAGGGTGCTAGCATCAACGAGATGGAGCAATGCACATACACCACACCTGAGGAGCAACAGCGCGCCGAGGAGGCCCTGTCCCAGTGGAAGAGGATTATGCTCTTGGTCGTGGCCATCACGGTCCACAATATTCCCGAAGGACTGGCTGTGGGCGTAAGCTTCGGCGCCATTGGCTCCACGAACTCTTCGACATTTGAGAGCGCCCGCAATTTGGCCATTGGCATTGGCATTCAGAACTTCCCCGAGGGATTGGCCGTCAGCTTGCCGCTACATGCCGCAGGATTCAGCGTGAAGCGGGCTCTTTGGTACGGACAACTGTCCGGAATGGTGGAGCCTATTTTTGGAGTGCTAGGCGCCGTGGCTGTGACCTTTGCGAACCTGATTCTGCCCTACGCCTTGTCTTTTGCGGCCGGAGCCATGATCTACATTGTGTCGGATGATATCCTGCCCGAGGCTCATGCCAGCGGAAATGGAACAATCGCCACGTGGGGCACTGTGTCCGGCTTCCTGATCATGATGTGTCTGGAGGTGGCACTGTCGTGAGAAACCAACGGCTCGCCTACGCCCGCCTCGCAGATTTCATAAGCTATGTGCTAAACTCAAAGATTCCACTGTACTTAACGCAAGATTCTGCTTGCTTGTAAATAGAAGCATGCTTTGTACAAATCTCAGAACTAGCCCCAAACGAGAATCTAATAATCTAACGTAGAGTGTAAGTTATGTAGAAAGAAGCTTGACAACCAGCGATGAAGCAGCGACATCCGTGCAATTGTGTATCTGTGTATCTGTGAACAGTACAGCATTCCCAGCGAGTTATGTAAATGAACTGTTTCTAGGAAAAATTGTAAGCAAACGTGCATGTGAATTAGGTTTTAAATTGTCACCGGTACACTAGTAGCTTGTGTCTTTTTTAACCGTCTAAAGTTTAAGTAATAAACTAAATGAATTAAAATGAACATCTCAGTTGCACCCCGCTCCAGTGTATATGTGTCCGTCCGGACAACTTCCTGGCCGTTTCTGGGGCCACACGATAGCTGATAAGAGCAAGTAAATTCAATTAGATAACCCGGAGAACCAACAACACAGCTGGTTGACTCGCTGTCAGCCAGTGAATAGTGATAAGAATCTGCCCGACACGAAGAGTTCCCAATATTGCGCGTATTCCGTGTTTGAGATACGTGCAGTTTCAGACGGCCCATGGCCCTGCGCTTCTGCTCGCCATCTGGATTTACTTATCATTTCAGATATGTATGTACTCGCACAAGTGCCGCGGGCCACAGTCCACCCACTGTGATCGTGGTCATAAGCAAAAGTGGTCGATAAGCACTCTTGCAGGCTATCTATTGTACAATTTTCATACAGTTGTTTATATGCGCCATAAAACTATAAACTCCTCAAGAATAGACCATTAGTTGGGGGCATATCTCAAGTGGAGTTAATGCTTCTGTGTCCGCAGTGCCATAAATTGATAGTGTCACCGATTAGACTAATTAAAGGCCTATTTCTTTTGTAAACTGAGGTGTAAGTAGAAGCTGCTATTTCCAACCAGAAACTATTGCAGAGTTGTTGATTTCGTACGTATGTACATTGTTGTCTCAGATCTGATAAAGCCTTTGAGACATTGTTAGCCCCAACAAATTTGAATGATAAGAATATTTAAAGTAGTTTGAATACCTTGATAAGTAAATATACCAACATCTACATACAAACTTTCTGTGAAGTATTATTGGGTACTTTGCAGTGAGCTATGCATTATTTTGAATAAGTCAAGGAACACCCATTAATAAAATCGATTGGCGGCAATTAAAAGCTAGCTTATTAATACCTATTTATCAACCAGTTTTGATCGAACCAGATCGATGGTATAACAAAAGCAACAATTCTTAATAACTTACCGGCATTTTGCCGTAGAGTTCGGGGTACTCGTACATGCGTATATTGCTGATGGGAAATTCCTTGGGATCACATATTTTGCGCTGCACCTTGCAAGCTTCAATCCACAGAATCGAAACGACTGGTATCTTCCACTCGGCGGCCTTTTTATAGGTGGAGAGCAGGCCATCCTTGAAGACAACGTGTGTGGTGGACCTGCAAGCCAACCAAAAAATGTTTTAATAGATTTTAGTCCAACTATTGTAATCCCTTAACTTACCGCGTTAGGCGGTCCTTGACCTGGGCTCCCATCTTGGCAATAATTGTTTTTACGCCCTCAGAGCGATTGTCGTTTCCAGTTCGCACCTCCACATACACGACAATATCCTTGAGCAACTCGGGGAGGGAGGGCGGCTCCGGAGGATTGCGCTCTTCCATTGTGATGATGCTTTGTTCGGCTAGAGGCACATCAAAGGTATTGTACGCCGACTTGGTGGGGCTTCTAAAAATATATGAAATGTTAAAACGAATGCATCTATTCAATATGATCAGTTTCTTTTTAAAGGCATTGGAGATTTATAAATCAAATTGAAACAATAAACATTCTTTGGATAACTGTTATAAATTAATATTTGGCTTTGGTATAGTATTAACACTTGGTTTTGGTCGATTCAATAGTAATTTAAATAGTTGATGGATGAAGAAGGCTTTGATTCAACTGTAGCATTGAAACTGATGGTATATAATCAAATGGCTTTAAGAGGGGCGATTAGTCGAGAAACCAGAAATGGTGCGGATTTTACTAATTGACCAATTGTCAATGTTGTCCCTATTATTAATTATAGTAACCTCTTTTTGTTCTTACGTTAACGCACGAATGGCGCGCAGTCGAAGTGACGCGCTGGGGCTATTGAGATCTTGCTGCAGTCGGGGCCAGTGTCCTTCCTGCCTGGTTGGCGTGGCAGCTCCGATGGTTTGAGCAGGTGTTGCTCCAGCTCTCTCCGCTCCCACCTGGTTTCGGTTCTGGTCCTGATGATGGAATTCGGAGCGGTTCTGGCTGATCGCTTTGGAGACCGCCAATGCCGGGTTGAGCATCAGCCGATCCCTGGCCACCTGGTCATCTAGCAGGAGGGAACGCAGCTTGTTAGTTATGCTCGGGTCGTTTGTCCACATGGTAATCTGTTATTTTTTTTTAATATCTTTTACAACTACGAATTTTGGGTGAGCTACGTATCCGGAATTAAAACTACTGGGGTGGGTGTTCAAATTCTAAAATAGGCATGCACAGCCAACCTGCCGGGGCCTGGGATAGAGATTTGGGAGCCAGTGCCGTTGGTTTGGACCTGGAGTCGCACGGATTTGAATCCTGCAACGGTCGGCGTATCGGTGACGCCGCTGATTTCTTGGCGGCTGCGGTGGAACTGGCCACGACCGATCCATACGTCTTCGTCTTCCATGTGGGATTGCGCAGCAGAATCTTGTCCATGGTCACGGGCTAGGTGCTCCGCACTCTTCCGCTCCTTATTGCACTGCAGTCGGTCCCAAAACTCTGCAAAAGACGCGCCAATAGTTTTCTAATCCAAACCTCACAAAAAGTGCAACACAATGTGACAGTGTGACCGGGTTTCACCAATGTAAGAAGATCATTCACTCGAAATCGGTTATCGATCTAAGCGATCTAAGCGAAAATCGATAATATGGTCTCCAATTTTAGCATTGTAGGTTTTAGTTCGATAACAAATATGGCGGCACTTTATTTCGTATTTAAAATATGAGACACAATAATCTTGGGGTTTCGCTGATGCACTTACTGTTTCTCTTATGAAAATTATTATATTATATATGATTTAAAACCAAAGCAGTTTGACAATAGAGGTAGTAAGACCCAAATGGTAAGCTACAGCCATACATTTCTTTGAAAATTGGAAAAATGTCGAAAAATTTTAAAAATAGCTTTAATCCACTTAAAGTAAAACGCTCATCTTGACTTTTATAATTCTCTTTTAATGCATACTAATATCGATTACATGTTTTTAATTTGAACTTATTTACATATGAATTGTATGTACAGAAAAATAATAAGAAAACAATAAATCGAACTTGCTTAAAGTAGCAATTCATTTTCATATGACATTATCTGCCCCCATCCTGAATCTCCGCCAAACTCTCCTTGCGCTTTTCGTGGGCTCTAGGACATTCTCTCAGTCTTAAACGATTTAAGAAACTATGGCAAAATTTTAATTACTCATTACAAATTGCATAATCATTAAATCTCTCTGCTTGACTTAAAGTTAACTGCGGTTAATTAGAGTTAGTGCGTATTAAGTGGTGTACGCTAAATGGCTGCATTTCGCTGCATTTATCACAAAACTGAGCGAAATGCACTCCACAGTGATCCAGTGAACCGATGATCCTCCACTGACCAGACTTAATCGTAGGCTTTGACTAAATAATTGTAGAATTAACGCTAGACGATGAATAAATTAGGGCCAGCCAAAGTGATCATTCTGAAAAGGGAAAATGTTCTAATTAAAAGAGATGATAAACTTAAGGAAATAAGTGGTCACATACCATGTGCGCTGATCAGACTACGTGCATCCCAGAGGGACATTTGCGACTGGGAGAGACGGTGCTGCGGAGGATACAGTTTGTACGGGAAGTACGAGTGGTGGAAGGTGGCGATGGGAATGGGTTGCGCCGGCTGCAGGAACTGCTGGTGCTGGTGCTGGGCTGAGATCTTCCGCGAGATCTTCGGCTCCTTCTTGGGCTTGCTGGCTCCTCCGGGGCACGGCTGCTTGGAGGACTTGATGAAGTTGGGAATCCGCGCCAGGAGGCCGCAGTAGTACGGATCATCCTGCTTCTTTCGCTGCTGCGAGCCGCTGCTCTTCTGTCGCTTCTTGTCCGCATAGATGGGCGTCAAGGACCCGCCAGATTCGTAGTCAGGCTGAAAGCATATAAAGCATACAAATATTATAATGCTAAATCTTTTCCCAAAAAGCGTTAAAGAGTGTGCATTTTAAAATCCAAAAGGTGTATAAGTGTATCTAAGTTGAAACCCACCTTGGGCACATATGGACCCTCGTTGAGGAAGGCGGCACTGAAGATGCTGCGACGTCCCTTGCTGGAGTTGCTCGAGTGCTGGGAGTTCTGGGAATCATCCGAAGCGGCGGGCGTGGGATAGATCAATCCCACCTGGCTTTCGATGGTTGAGTAGGGATCCTCGCTGCTGTTCGTCAGCGGCACTCGCATGCCCATTGCATCCAGTGACTTGGGAATCGTTTGAAGGCGACTCCTCAGCATGTCCATGGCCACCACGTTGACCACCAGTATCCAGACCGGCGAATTGATTAGATTGTTGTTCGACTTGACCAGCGATACGGCGGACAGGCACTGCCGTTCCAGCCTGCCGCGCTCCGGATAAGTGCGCGCAAACTCGCGGTTTATGTTGGTCTGGAACTTCTTCATGTCGAAGAGTCGAGCGGAGGTTCCCGCGGTGAGGGACATCTGCGGCATTTGGATAATGTCGCCGCCGATCACCGTCTCCTCGTTTCCTTGCGATGTGCTGTTCACGTAGATGCTGCTCTTGCCATATCGCTTGATGAATATGTTGCCGGTGTCGTCCATTTTGATTTTGAATCCATCACCGATGGACTTTTTGATCACCTTCGTCTCCGCATCGCGCATGGGGTTATCGAATCCATTCAAGCCAATACTGTGGATTTAGGGTGATTAAATAGTTGGTTTTCAAATGACTTCTTGTACAGTCAAATTTTACAAATAAATAATAGAAAAGTATTTAAGTATTGTAAATATAACATTGTTAAATTAACAATGTAATATTTGTATTTCCAAAAATTGAAACCTGATAAATTTGATTGTATAATGAAATATTATCTCACCGAACTCCATCGAATCCATTCTTGGATCCGTTTATGGTTATCACAGAGGAGCGAGCGTAGGCCTTAGCCACGCGGCGATTCTTTTCAAAGACAATTATCTTGGCCCAGATCTCGTCGTCGATTTGCTCCCACTTGGACAGAACCTCGTTGATGTGATCCTGCGTGGGGTCAATAAGTACGGATAA